TTGGCCTTTGATCAAGTTCAGAAACAATATATTAATATTAATTGCTTTCTGATCAACAGTGGATTATTAAAAAATGTGTTGTCCCTAACATTGTTGGATATGTCGACCATGACCAAAAATTGTTATACCCAATGATTTATATACACTACCGTTCAAAAGTTTGGGGTCACTTAGAAATGTCCTTGTTTTCCAAAGAAAAGCAAATTTTTTGTCCTTTAAAATAACATCAAATTGATTGGAAATGGCTATTGTAGTTGGAAATGGCTGATTTTTAATGGTATATCTACATAGGCGTACAGAGGCCCATTATCAGCAACCATCAGTCCTGTGTTCCAATGGCACGTTGTGTTTGCTAATCCAAGTTTATCATTTTAAAAGGCTAATTGATCATTAGAAAACCCTTTTGCAATTATGTTAGCACAGCTGAAAACTGTTGTGCTGATTAAAGTAGCAATAAAACTGGCCTTCTTGAGACTAGTTGAGTATCTGGAGCATCAGCAATTGTGGGTTTGATTACAGGCTCAAAATGGCCAGAAACAAATAACTTTATTCTGAAACTCGTCAGTCTATTCTTGTTCTGAGAAATTAAGGCTATTCCATGCGAGAAATTGCCAAGAAACTGAAGATCTCGTACAACGCTGTGTACTACTCCCTTCACAGAACAGCGCAAACTGGCTCTAACCAGAATAGAAAGAGGAGTGGGAGGCCCCGGTGCACAACTGAGCAAGAGGACAAATACAGTAGAGTGTGTAGTTTGAGAAACAGACGCCTCACAAGTCCTCAACTGGCAGCTTCATTAAATAGTACCTGCAAAACACCAGTCTCAACGTCAACAGTGAAGAGGCGACTCCGGGATGCTGACCTTCTAGGCAGAATTGCAAAGAAAAAGCTGTATCTCAGACTGGACAATAAAAATAAAAGATTAAGATGGGCAAAATAACAGTCACTGGACGGTTGAAGATTGGAAAAAAAGTGTTATGGACAGATGAATAGAAGTTTGAGGTGTTCGGATCACAAAGAAGAACATTTGTGAGATGCAGACCAAATGAAAAGATGCTGGAGGAGTGCTTGATGCCATCTGTCAAACATGGTGGAGGCAATGTGATGGTCTGGGGGTGCTTTGGTCATGGTAAAGTGGGAGACTTGTACAGGGTAAAAGGGATCTTGACGAAGGAAGGCTATCACTCCATTTTGTTACGCCATGCCATACCCTGTGGACGGCGCTTGATTGGATCGAATTTCCTCCTACAACAGGACAATGACCCAAAGCACAGCTCCAAACTATGCAAGAACTATTTAGGGAAGAAGCAGTCAGCTGGTATTCTGTCTGAAATGGAGTGGCCAGCACTGTCATCGGATCTAAACCCTATTGAGCTGTTGTGGGAGCAGCTTGGCCCATCAAGCCAATCCAACTTGTGGGAGGTGCTTCAGGAAGTATGGGGTGAAATCTCTTCAGATTACCTCAACAAATAGACAACTAGAATGCCAAAGGTCTGCAAGGCTGTAACTGCTCCAAATGGAGGATTCTTTGACGAAAGCAAAGTTTGAAGGACACAATTATTATTTCAATTAAAAATCATTATTTTTTAACATTGTCAATGACTACATTTCCTATTCATTCTGCTATATTTCCTATTTAAACTCATTTCATGTATGTTTTCATGGAAAACAAGGACATTTCTAAGTGACCCCAAACTTTTGAACGGTAGTGTATACCCTAGATGACTGACAGGGGGTGCTGTTTTGAAGCAACCATGCCTCCATCTTGGCACATTTACATTTTAGTCATTTAGCAGACGCTCTTATCCAGAGCGACTTACAGTTAGTGAATACATTTTTTTTTTTTTTCTACTGGCCCCCCGTGGGAATCAAACCCACAACCCTGGCGTTGCAAACGCCATGTTCTATCAACTGAGCTACATCCCTGCCGGCCATTCCCTCCCCTACCCTGGATGACGCTGGGCCAATTGTGCGCCACCCATGAGTCTCCCGGTCGCTGCCGGCTGCGACAGAGCCTGGATTCGAACCAGGATCTCTAGTGGCACAGTTAGCACTGCGATGCAGTGCCTTAGACCACTGCGCCACTCAGGAGGCACTATTCCACCATTGTAAAAAATATATTTTGGAAGCTATAGAAATGCATTTATAAATGTCTACATTTGTTTTTGTCATGCTTCTTCTACCTTAATGCATACTTTGAAATTATATTATGTAAACTAAACATACAAATAGTAAATAAATAAAAACATTTTCCTTAAAGTATAATTTTTTGAAAGTACTAATATTAATGCCCCCACTACAACAACAAAATACTTAAATACATGTACATTTGTCCTTGAAACATTTAAATGAAATATTGTAGAATTCCATTCATTCCTATGGAGGACTGCTTTTCTGAGGAGTACCAATATGGCTGTTTGGTTCTAGGCATGAGGTGCTATCAAATAAAAGATACCTCTTTTGATCAAACCTCTCTTTTAAATGGCGTAAATGTACTGTATAGTATATCAATATACAGACACCCTGATCCAGAGGATGAGAATAGCCACTTGACAGGTATTAATTCCTCTTGATGAATGAAGAGGGTCATTTGTGTGTCAATGGGAAGTATGGTGTGGACATGACCTTCTGACCGTGGTCAGCCTCCTGGTTAAATTCCCCCCTCGCTCGCGCTCTCAGACAGCAGTCTTTGGATTGTCCTCCCAGCCTATTAGCACCGGGGTGAAGAGCTTAACAGCTCACCAGGGGGATTTCTCCCCGTCTATGTAGTGCTGCTCAGGATCGTTAGGAGATTGTGCTTAAAGCCATTCATGAAAAGTGTGGATTTTGTGACCAGTAATAATCCCGGCTCCTCTTGCATTGTGGCAGACGCGATTCGAAAAGCAAATACGCCTGGGCCGTGTGACAAACAAGACAGGGATTTTCTGCAGAGGTGTAGTAAATAGCAGTGGAGGCTGCTGAGGGGAGGATGGCTCATAATAATGGCTGGAACGGAGCAAATGGAATGGCATCAAACACATGGAATCCATTTGATACCATTTCACTGATTCCGCTCTAGCCATTACCACGAGCCCGTCTTCCCCAATTAAAGTGGCACTAACCTCCTGTGGTAAATAGAGCATTTATTGTGCATTTCTGAGCTGTGCTTCTGAATGGTGAGAAGTTGAGCTGGTTCTGTGTCCCATGGATTAGCGAGATACTGTGCTCGCTATTACTATTCAGCCTGTCCCATACTGTTTCTTAACTTAAAGTAAGGTATATATAACTTAAAGTAAAGTATATGAAGATATGGCCTTTGAATAACTTGGTGTAGTAACACATGTATGAAGTAAAGTAGTTCCCTAAAGAATAGTCTTATGGAAATTAGTGGTCTGATCTCGTAGCTAGCTGTCACGTCTAATGAGTTTTATCCATCTGAAGGTAAGGAGTCCCTGTGGGAAGAGACTCTTTTAGTGCTAATACATTTCAATTTAATCCCACTCCCTTTTTTGTTTTGACTGAATTGTCCAAATGTCAGAAGTCTAACCTTTTATTTCCACACAGACATGCTCGAAAGCTCAAAACATGCATATGTGTTATCTTGAATTTAGAGTAAAAAAGAACATCATGCCAGCTCTGAAATTGGCTTCTGTAATATGAACAATTAAGCATGTTAAACTATGACAAAATTGTATTGTGTATTGATAATGAGTGATAGTGATGGCACCGCGACTCCCTATTGGGTTATTTTAATGGAAAGTTCCTTATTGGGTTATTTTAATGGAAATATTACTTCACTGATTTGTCCTTTTATTGTCATTGACTCCAAATGAAGGAAGATATCTGAGAGGAGCCAATCCCCTTGGGACGGATCATATGTCTATTTCTATGGCTCCCACCCCTTGACAAAAAAACACACCCTTTTGTATTAGCATAATAAATGGTCTGGTGAGAGACAGAGACAGAGACAGAGACAGAGAGAGAGACAGAGAGAGAGAGAGAGAGAGAGAGAGAGAGAGAGAGAGAGAGAGAGAGAGAGAGAGAGAGAGAGAGAGAGAGAGAGAGAGAGAGAGAGAGAGAGAGACCAGAGCCGTCTGTTTGCCTGTGATTCCTTGCCATTCCCCATAATTTAATCAAGTACGAACTTGCTTATCTGTATGCTTTGTGTTCAGACTGGGAGCAGCCTGGGAAGAGTGCGTGGAAATACCAAACAGAGAGAAATCGAGTGAGTGGGAGAGAGAGAAAGAAAAAGAGAGAGAGAGAGAGAGAGGCTAAAAGGGAGAGGAGGGGTGTGGGAGGAAGAAAAGGGGAGTATCCTGACTTGGCCATCCTTCCGCATTGTGCGAGCGCTTCTCTCTCTCTCTCCACTAATGATCTCTTTCTCTGGCGCTGCATAGAGGGCACCTGCTGCTCCCCGATGATTCAGCCCCTCTCGGCTGCTGCTTGAGCACCACAGACAGACAGCATGTCACTCCTGCCACTGCAGTGCCTGCTCACTCTGTCGCAGCCGCTAGAGTCGCATCCTGCCCATAGCATTTACACAGCAGCTGGCTCCACTCTTCAAGTCCTCAGTTGAGTGAGCGCACTACTGATTCCACCCAGCGAACTGCACTGAACTCAACTGGATCATGCACGAGATCTAAGGGGGAAAAAAACGATTCTGTCTTCTGGACTACCTTTGTTGTGTGTCTGAGCTGAGCTGAATCTGATGGTTTTATTTCGAGACTTGTTTTGTGAACGCATTTCCCGTGAGAATGCCACGAGAGTGAACCTGCGAAGAACTCTTTCTCTCCGTCACGCAAGTGTTGTTGGTTTATTTACCAGACGTTAACAAGGTTACCCTACACGGCCGTGAAAAGCATCCTCCTTCTTCATCTTCCACCCAACTCCCACCATGGCGATCTGATAATGGACAACACACTTTACAGCACCTGCCGCAGCCTGCTGCTGTGTGCTTTGAGTTGAGTCCAGGTGTCCAGAGATCCTCCTGTCTGAGAGAGAGAGAGAGAGATAGAGGGAGGATGACGGAGGGAGTGGAGGCGGAGGACTCTTCCGCTGGCCTGGTTGTCCCTCCCGGATCAGCGTCCCCCACCCACTCCTGCACCGATCCCGGACGAGCCCCCGAGGAGGCGCCGGAGGAGTCTGCGGCAGGTGGAGAGGGAGGGGAGGAGGGTGCCGAGGGAGGCAGTGACGATGGCGATGGAGGGCGAGCCGGGCCCCTGGGATTCTTGGGCTTGGCAGGGACTTGCTGTGTGTGCATAGAGATGGAACAGGTGCGCAGTTGCCTGCGCTCTGAGAAGATCTGCATCCTCCCCATCCTGGCCTGCCTGCTCAGCCTGGCCTTCTGCACTGCCGGCCTCAAGTGGGTCTTTGTGGACAAAATCTTTGAGTATGAGCCGCCCACCCACCGGGACCCTGATCGCATGGAACAAAACCCCTTCATCGTCATTGCTGACCCCACATGGGATCTGCCAGTGTCATTTCCCCACCCCTCCCCTGTCCCAATGCCGACGACCACCAGCACAGGACAACCTGAGGTCATAGTAGAGGGGAAACCCACCGGAGGACCCTTTGTACCCCAGTCCCCCAGAGTGACTCAGTACACCCCTACCTCTGCATTGACGTACCGCACAGACCCGCCCATGCAACCTGGACCCCCTATCACCCCAAAACCAGTGAACAAGGGAACACCAACCCCCTACCCACAAACTACTGTGGAATCGAATGACATTTTTGTCCCTACATTCTGTAAGTACGCCACACTTTGTATTTCCAATGAAACCATGTGTTATTTTAATTTGCTCTCAGTTTTAGTTTACTCTCATGTTGAGTAAATACGTTCAGTTATATTAGCCTTGGAAGTTTAGACAAGAAAGGATTCTGAGGTTTTATGTCAGATTAAGACAAAAACTCACAAATATTCACTACAGTAAGAATGTTTATTTTAAGGGAGCCAGATAATGTAGTCAGATGGAGGAAATCAACTGTCAGTTGATGTTGAAATCAAACATCAGCATACTGGGTACAGACATGCAGAAAGGAGATCTCCATGTGATACTATTCAGTGAAATAGTTTGTATACAATCCTCCAGTGTACAAACTTTCCCTACTGCAATAGGCAGCCTAAAAGGCCATTACTTGTACATGTAAAAAAAAAAAAAAAAAAGCTTTTACAACTAGATTTTTTCCTATTATGCAACTCTATACTGAGAATAATAGTGCTAAGCACTCTGTCTGAAAGCAGAAATGCTGTGACTTGCATTGTAGCGCAAGTGGCCATGACTGTAAGTCGCTCTGGATAAGAGCATCTGCTAAATGACTAAAATGTAAATGTAAGCCTCGGAAGAATTAGCACCACAGGTTGTTACTGCTAAACAACTAACTATAAAGTAAACAACTAGCTACTACTGCATAAACATGCCCTTACTGTCCCACACACCACATCCGATGCAGTTAATCACAAGCCTGTTAATACCATGCTGTTATGTTAATTTCACTCAGCATGTCACCAAAACATGTTCTCATCTGCATATTTGAAATAAGCACAAGGGCCCCCAATGCTAGCCGCGCATTATTTCCATTCATATGAAAATATGAAAAATCAATAGCTGATGATGCACGACTTCCTAAAACTAAATGCTGTGGTGCCGGAGAGACTTCCTCCTGCCAGGCCGAAGCTCTATTTCAAGGTCAGAGCCTGCTGGAGGCTAATTGATTCCCCCTCCATCTCTGAGCCACAGAGAAAGACAATCCCAGTAATGCTATCTACCATGACTTTGAGAGCCGCCAGAGTTATAACTGTTGGAAATCTGCCAAACTCTACCGGCACTTTTGTCCTTTTGCAGCTTTATTCCCCGTTCCCTGCGAGATTTCATATATGTTTTTCTCATCTGTCCTCATTTTAGTGAGGTGGATGATGGCCATACAGATGTGAGATCTTAATTTGACCTGTATTGTCTCAGCAAAATAAACTTGCAGCAACAGGATATTAACTTTTAGTCCATAATGTTCTCAGCAACAAAAGTGATCAAATTAAATTCCTACATCTGTATTTGACCCTTGTGGTGTAGCTGTGGGTTTTTGTGGCTGCCTGCCCTTGATGCATTTCCTCATGCAAATGAGTCTTTCAGATTAATTAATTCACACTTGACAATTGCATGTTGGAGATGTGATGAGTAGATTATAGATCTACATCTGTTCGAAAGGCAGGATATTTGGTTCATAAGCCTGCACTCTGATAGCTGATGTGTGTGCTTGGTTTAGTGAGCTGAGAGATGGGAAGGTTTCCTTGTGTTTTTGACACACCCCCTGACGAAACAAAAGCATTGGCATTGAAATCTGCCAATCATCAGCACTGATGAAAGTTTAGTACTGTATGTGCAGCTCCGCTCAGAAACGATGAATGCCTCACATCGATCAAGTCGATCACTGTTGTGCTTGAGATCTAGGCTCAATGTGCAGTGTTACTTCCTAAGACAGCAAAGGTCACCATACACGGTTGGCCAAATCCCTAACATGAGAAATATACACCTAACTTGACGTTTTTCGTAACTCATGCATTGATGACATTATATAAGTTATTGGCTTGTTCCACCACAGCAGAGGCACATTTGAAAAATTGAAAGACAAAGGTGGTGTGTCAGCTTCATATGCACTCATTAGTCAAATCAAGGGCTGCTGTGAGGCAAGATACTCACCCCTTTTAAGCTGCATGATCAATGTTCGGTTTTTAAATTGGAAATGTGATCGGCTGCTTTGGTAATCTCAGACCAAATCAATACACAGAGAGCAGGTCAGCTGTCCAACCAGGAAGCACAGTGAAAGTGATAGTGATTTGTCGCATCCTCTGACACATTGAGCAAATTAGAAAATGGGAAGGAAGCTAACGAATACGCCAATACGGATGCCATGTCAATATGGGTAGAGGTGTATCAAAGTTGTCTGTCAGACATTCCTATGACGGCATGTGTGTATGAGACAGTTGGTGTTGTAGGCCACCTACAACACACCTGCAATTGTTCTGCAAAACATTTCACTGAAAAAACTAAGATATTTTCCATCAACAATAACTCAATGTTGCAAGTACATGGCATGCTCGGCTGGTTGACTGTAACATTACAATAATACAATTGGTGCACCCTCTTTATCACATGTTCAGATTGGGTTGAACTGAACATTTTTAATTCCATTTTGGTTTACCCACATGAAAAAATATTACAATTTACTATAGAATATTACAGTAATTACTATAGAATTCTGTAATAGACTGTGGTATACTGTAGAATACTATACTACACACTGTAGTATCCCTTGAACATGTGTTTTACTTACTATAGAATGTTGTAATATACTGTAGAATACTATAGTAAATACTACAGTATTATCCTCAAAACAACACTGTAGTAAATACCACAGTAATGTCCGCAAAAACACTACGGTCCGCAAAAATACTACACTTTTCTAACTATAGTAAATACTACAGTATCGAATTTGTTCTGAACTATCTGGTCAGACCCCTGTCCTACCTACAGGTTATGGAAAAGGTGCTCTTTTAGTATTTCTCCAGTAGGTTTCTTCAAGGAGAAAGCCTCCACTTCTATGTCAAAGATACCATAGTATCACCATAGTATACTGTAGAATTATTTCATGTGCGTAGCCGCATTAAGTTTAATTCACTTCTTCACTCGAGGGAACTTCCGGTAGAGGGCAGGTATACAAGATGGCGTATTGAATACACAGCGGTACAAATCACCTTAACATAAAAACATAATATTCAATATCAGTAAGTTAGACTAAATATTAACATTTCATATATTCGAGGGTAATAACATTCAATCTGGATAATAACACAAAACAAATTATAAGGCTAGAGAAATGTATCGACAAATATTACAACACGCAACACCCAAACATGACGGAAGATAAACGAGGAGAATCATTCTCCAAGAGAAAACGCGACTCCTCGACTGATACAGATGATTTATGCTTTTCACCACTGGGACTGGTAAGTGTGGAAAGCGACCTGTTGAAGTTGATAAATGACAAACTGGGCATACTAGAGTTGGTCAGTAATGATGTAAAAGAGTTGATGGCGAGTCTTGAAATGAGTGACGAAAAAGCTGCGATAATGGAGAGCGATACAAAAAAACTAAAAGGGGCAGTCACTAGGATGGAAACGGACGTTAAGGAACTTAAAAAGGAGACATACAAACTAGATCGATGAGAGAAAATCTAGTACTTACGGGTATCCAGGAATAAGAGGGAGAGATTACAGAAAAAATTGTGAAGGACTTCTTTCTGACAGCGCTTTAAATTCCACTCGAGGCTGTCGACAAAATCCAACTTGAACGTGTACACTGTTTATGACAAAGAGGACAGAGATATGAGCGTCCAATCATTGCCAAATTTGGCAGGGTTTGTCCTACAAAGCCAGAGCCCCCTGATGGGAGAGCATAATATACAAGGAAATTCTCAAAGCTGCTAATGAGAACCTTGACGACCTTGTACCTAGCCGGTGGGGATTTCGGTAGGGTACCCCCACCCAGGTAGTGGCAGTGCTGGCAACACTGGCTGCAGTAACCCATGGGGAGGGGGTCACACTCGGACAATCAGAGAGAGGGCTTATCATTGTGGCCCAGGTGGCACAAAATAATCAAAGGTCTGACTGCACGGAAATGCTTGGGAAAAATGGTTACAACGGGGGACCAGAGTGTTTGTGTCTCAGGTGAAGAGGGTGGATCTGATCTCCATCACCTAGGACTTGACATAGATTTATCAAATCTCACATTGTTTTGCTCAATCTTGCATGCTTTCTCAAACAGCTGTAACTGTATATGCATTCGTATATGCATTCATAAATCAGGTCCTTTCTTGAGTTGGGCACTGGGATGTAACAACCGTTGAGCATCTGATTTTATGGTTGATTGTGGAGGAAAGGGGTTGAGTGTGTTAGAGTATGTGCGTGTGTGTTTATCCCACATCTGTTGCAAGGGGGTAAGGATGTTAGGGAGAATATAGGATGAACCACAATAATTGTTTGCTAAAATAAGAATTGCTTATCAAAAATGTAATACAATGGCAATCTGGGTTATAGGTTAAAATCCTACACATGAACTGCCAACAGTATTACCGTATTAATTGATAATGATGGAAAATATGATATGAAAGATATTTGAATAGATAGATATTTTTAAATAGCTACAGTATATATATACAGTGGGGGAAAAAAGTATTTAGTCAGCCACCAATTGTGCAAGTTCTCCCACTTAAAAAGATGAGAGAGGCCTGTAACTTTCATCATAGGTACACGTCAACTATGACAGACAAAATGAGAAAAAAAAATCCAGAAAATCACATTGTAGGATTTTTAATGAATTTATTTGCAAATTATGGTGGAAAATAAGTATTTGGTCAATAACAAAAGTTTCTCAATACTTTGTTATATACCCTTTGTTGGCAATGACACAGGTCAAACGTTTTCTGTAAGTCTTCACAAGGTTTTCACACACTGTTGCTGGTATTTTGGCCCATTCCTCCATGCAGATCTCCTCTTGAGCAGTGATGTTTTGGGGCTGTCGCTGGGCAACACGGACTTTCAACTCCCTCCAAAGATGTTCTATGGGGTTGAGATCTGGAGACTGGCTAGGCCACTCCAGGACCTTGAAATCCTTCTTACGAAGCCACTCCTTCGTTGCCCGGCGGTGTGTTTGGGATCATTGTCATGCTGAGAGACCCAGCCACGTTTCATCTTCAATGCCCTTGCTGATGGAAGGAGGTTTTCACTCAAATTCTAAAGATACATGGCCCCATTCATTCTTTCTTTTACACGGATCAGTCGTCCTGGTCCCTTTGCAGAAAAACAGCCCCAAAGCATGATGTTTCCACCCCCATGCTTCACAGTAGGTATGGTGTCCTTTGGATGCAACTCAGCATTCTTTGTCCTCCAAAAACGACGAGTTGAGTTTTTACCAAAAAGTTCTATTTTGGTTTCATCTGACCATATGGCATTCTCCCAATCCTCTTCTGGATCATCCAAATGCACTCTAGCAAACTTCAGACGGGCCTGGACATGTACTGGCTTAAGCAGGGGGACACTTCTGCACTGCAGGATTTGAGTCCCTGGCGGCGTAGTGTGTTACTGATGGTAGGCTTTGTTACTTTGATCCCAGCTCTCTGCAGGTCATTCACTATGTCCCCCCGTGTGGTTCTGGGATTTTTGCTCACCGTTCTTGTGATCATTCTGACCCCACGGGGTGAGATCTTGCGTGGAGCCCCAGATCGAGGGAGATTATCAGTGGTCTTGTATGTCTTCCATTTCCTAATAATTGCTCCCACAGTTGATTTCTTCAAACCAAGCTGCTTACCTATTGCAGATTCAGTCTTCCCAGCCTGGTGCAGGTCTACAATTTTGTTTCTGGTGTCCTTTGACAGCTCTTTGGTCTTGGCCATAGTGGCGTTTGGAGTGTGACTGTTTGAGGTTGTGGACAGGTGTCTTTTATACTGATAACAAGTTCAAACAGGTGCCATTAATACAGGTAACGAGTGGAGGACAGAGGAGCCTCTTAAAGAAGAAGTTACAGGTCTGTGAGAGCCAGAAATCTTGCTTGTTTGTAGGTGACCAAATACTTATTTTCCACCATAATTTGCAAATAAATTCATTAAAAATCCTACAATGTGATTTTCTGGAATTTTTTTCCTCAATTTGTCTGTCATAGTTGACGTGTACCTATGATGAAAATTACAGGCCTCTCTCATCTTTTTAAGTGGGAGAACTTGCACAATTGGTGGCTGACTAAAAACTTTTTTCCCCACTGTATATGGAGGCTTAAATATCCTGATCTAGTGAGACATACACGGCGGAGACTCAATCAAGCCAGTTGTCTTGACTTCTTTCTTATGTCATTCTCGTTGGCACCAAAAGTGTTGATAGGGGAC